GGATGGTTTGCCTTCATTTTCCCCAGTAGCCTATAATAAATGCTCCATGGTGAGCGTCCATGCATGCTCTTGCCCACTGCCCAGGCTGTCCAGGACGCTTTGTAGGATAGCTGTATAGTGCTGGAGGGTCGATTTTCCCCAAAGTGCTGACCTTCCTCAAGAGCAATGTGGCTTTTCTCTTTAAAGGACCATGTTGCACACAGGCTCCTCTAAGGCAGAGGCCACACCTACCTGCTTCAGAACAACAACAGCAAACCCTTTAGTAAAGTTGTGCATTCAATGCAAGAAGCTGAGTAGAGGCAATCTACTGGGTCTCTGAGTGTCAGTGTGGTTTTCTGAGGTTCGAGAGGACTGAGGCTGGGCCTGTTACTGCGAGAGGACGGAAAGTTGTTGGGAATGAGACGCAGCAATTATCACAGCAATTGTTCCCGTAAATGACACATGCTCCAACCAGTGAATAAGGTAGGAGTAACAAAACCCTCACAAAGAAACCAGTGCTTTGCTGGAGAGGGCATAAGGGGAATCGGAGAAAGTACTGGCAGGGGCAGTGGAGAAAAGGCGAGGTGATCAGCTGCCTTCAGGAGGACAGCCCAAGAAACCTGATGGGGCAGGTCTGCGGTGTCACTGACAGGTCAGCGTGAGTGAGTCGGCCGTACGTGCCGGAAGCAACACAGTGCTGGTGGTGGGGGCTGGACAGGAGTCCGAAGAAACCTTGGTGGGCAGTCGATGATCAATGCCGCCCACCCCACGTCCTCAGTAGTTCCATTTGCCTACACCAGGCGGCAACAACTCTGACGTTTTCAAACTCAACTTAAAAAGTCAAACTCGCTGCCCTCGAGTCACTGCTGACTCACAGCAGCTCTACAGGACAGGGCAGAACTGTCCCTGTGCGTTTCCGAGACTGCACCTCTTTACGGGAATAGAAAACCAGGTCTTTGTCCCGCTCCCTGGCTAGTGGTTCAAAATGCTGACTTTAGAGGTTAGCAGCTCAACGCAGACCCACCACGCCGCCAGCGCTTCAGCTTCCAGAAGTATCACTGGCTCTTCTACTCCGCTAGGTGCTCTTTTTGCTACCGTCACCCACCGATAAGAACCTGGGAATGTGGGTGAGGTGCTATGGGTGGGGGAAATCCCACAGCCCCGGCTCAGAATGCTCCCAGGTAGGTTCTATTCAGCTCGAAAGGAGACTGGGTTGTTATTGCCAAAGCGAGTGTCCTGAGCAGGTGCCTATCAGGAGGGGCTGTGTTCTGATGGGCAGGCACAGGAAGAAGACCTAGAAACCTTGGTTCCAGATTCTTAAACAATCAAATTCACCAGGTGTTCCATGGCTTAGACGTGAATCACAGTTTCACCTCGTAGGATTGCTTAGGGCAAGAGTGTTGGAAATACTGGTATTGTTCTGCTATTTCAGTTCATAGCAATAGCTGCGTGTGCCTGTACCGATTGGACATGGGCTTCAGCACCGAGATCTGAATGCAGCCAGAGTGAAAGGAGTGCCTGTCCCATGATGACGGAGGAGGCTGGAGAGGGTGAGATGCGGTCTCTCTTTGTTTAACGTTCAGCAGGTAGAAGCTGAGCCTGTGGGTTCACGATAAACCTGTCAGGATGATTTGTTCTCCTGTTTTCCGTGGTGATGTGGGAGCTTTGCCGCATGGAAGGAAGCAGACGCTGACCAGGGCTTGGGAAGGGGGTCCTGGGCAATAAGAGACACCCCCTCCGCTGCACATCATCCCCGCCCTTCAAAAAATCTAAGAGGCCATTCTTGAAGAGGTACTGATCAGAGGACAGAGTGAAGGCTTTCTTCCCCCTTACAGATTTATATTCTTGGGAACCCTGATAGGTTCCCTATGAGTTGGAATCAGTTTCATGACAGTGGGATTGATTTTGGCTTAGTGAACAGGGCAGGCTCTTAATTCACTTCATTTGTTCATTGGTTCAACCAACATGATGCGCAGTTACTAGGTGCCTTTTCATGAGAAGGGAAAAAGATTAGCCTACAATTGGAGGAAAGAAAGTTGATAAATATCCTCAAAGTGACAAAAACAAATGAAAAATAGAAGAAACAAACCTTGTTACCTCTTCTAGGGGGCTAAGGACACAGTTGTTCCTTGTTGAGAGAAGAGGACACATAAAATAATATTTAAAACCAATAGACTTTAATCCAGATTGGGTTTAGAGTCTGTGGAATAGACAAAGCTACTAAACATGTTCCTGGTCAAGAGTGTCCTCATGAGAAACCCAAACAGAAAACAACTTTCAGGAAAATCCTACTGCCAGGAACCATGCTCGGAATTGTTGGAAGCAAACAAGTAAAACACCAGTCACATGTCTATCCGTTGTAGGGAAAGCGTTTGGATTTAGCTTTGCAGGGCTTGGCTGGGACGAGGCGTCTGGGCCCATCATCCCCCCTGTGCATCCATCAGCATGCAGGGAGGGGTGGTTCAGCTGGCACAGATCTCCCCAAAACTGGTATGTAGGGCAAGTGTTCCCAAGCAAAAGACCCAGGGCTTTTTCTAGGAAAGGTAGTTTATGCATCCCCCCCGCCCTCCGGCAAAAAGGCCAGATTCATTAGAGACCATTTTTCTAAGCAAACATTGTGGAGCTCAGACTCTAAGCCCATCACTGAGCACATCTCTCACCTTCAAGACTTAAAACCCACTGGGGAAGGCAGAGGAGGAGCCCTGGTGGTCAGTGCATCAGAGCTTAGTTGTGACCTGAAAGGTGTGGGTGATTCCAACCCCACTAGCCGGTCAAGGGGAGGAAGATCTGTCAGTCTGCTTGCTTCCCGAAAGATCGCAACGATGGAAACTCCGGGGGGCAGTTCTCTGCCAGGTGAATCAGCGTCAGCTCTCCAGCAACGTGTGTTTTGTTTCAATGTGCGGGGAAGGCAGGCACAGACACAGATCACTTCGGTAGAAAATTGTAAGGGTGAAGACAGAAGTGGGTGCAAAATGTTCCCTACAGTCTAATGTCGAGTGCAAATGTGTGATAAGGACGGGAGGCATTTTCTGGAGGTTTGGTTCTAAGAGTCCAATTTTGGTTCTGCCATTGTTACTAGAGGGAGCTTCCTGCATGGTGCAGTGATTAAGGGCGGAGCTAGGAACCAAATTGTCGGTGGTTTGAACCCACTAGCTGCTCCCTGGGAGAAAGAAGAGACAGTCTGCGTCCATAAAGAACAACAACAACAACAAAAGCAGACTCACCGCCATCAGGCCGATGCCCACTCACAGCAACCGCTAAGGACAGGCGAGAGCTGCCCCCATGAGTTCCCGAGATGGTAACATTGTATGGGAGTAGAAAGCCCCGACTCTCTCCCACAGATTGGCTGGTGGTTTTGAACCATCAACCTTGCAGTTAGCAGCCTCCTGAGTAACTTTGGTTCCAGAAAGAGTTGGAGTTGCCTGGAAGGCAAGGCCATGGGTTTTGAGTTGTTGCTAGGTGTCATCAATTGATTGCAACTTACAGTGGCCTCATGGGAGAGAACGGAACTACTCCACAGTCTCCTAAGGTATCCTCTTTACTGGTTAAAGATCGGTTCTTTTTCCAGTGGATCCATCGAGTGTGGTCAAACCACAAATGTTTTGGTGAGCAGCCAAGCGCCTAACTGCTGCGCCACCAGGGGCTCCTTCCATTTGTGTTCTAATGGGCTTCCAAGGCAAGGTTGTTGTCCCTGAAGGTCACATTGACACAAGTGCTTTATCTGTCAGGCCGCGGAAGAATTTCCACCAGGAGACCATGTTAAGGGGAAATCCTTATCAGTCAATGGAAGTCCTGGCTATCCCAGGACTGTGAGAGCGGTCACCAGTGTAATAACACGAGCATGGAGTTGGATCAATGGTTACTGACTAGCTGTGACCATGGCCAAGGGGTTTCCATGTGGCTAGGATGCTAGTATTTAAAATACCATCAAGGTTACCTATGGTGGACAGCTTTCAGAGGAGCTAAAACAAACTAGAAAGAAAAGCCTGTTGAAAGCTGAACGACGGCCCTATGGATGACCACAGAACGGGGCCAGTCAAGTCCTTCGGCCTCTGAAGGCTGTTCCTTAAAAGGCTGGGGGCTTCCAAATAAAGCAATGCAGGAGTACATATGGATGTCTCTAAGAAAATGCTTCAACAACGATTTGAACAAGATAAGTGCCTGCTGTATACAAGTTAGTCATAAGATCTATACAGACCAAAGGAAAAGCCTACCTATTCTTTTCTTCATGGAGCTGGTGGGTTGGAAATATTACCCAAACTGATTTTTGGCTAACGTTCTAAGCGTGTCATTCAAAATGCTTTCAGGCATACTAGAGGCAAGATATTATTTAACAGCAAAATCTTAGCCAACACAGTAATAAGGATTTGATTTCATGTACTCATGAAAAAGGAATGTGGCCAAAAAAAACCCCTCTCTAGCACACAAGCTGCTTTTAAAGTGACCATGGTGTCATTACAGGAGTCTTCCCCCTTGAATTCTAGGCCCTGTATGGAACATTCCGTACAGGGCAGTGCTGTGTGCTGTGCTGTTTATTTTCCCCCTTAAAATGAATCAGTCAAGTCAGTGTTTCTGAAAGCAGAAGAGTTGGGAGGAGAGTGGAGACCTATGTTTATCCATAGGTGGTGGTTTTAGCTCATGTAGCTCAAATCTCCACTGCCAATCCGGCTCTGTGATCCCTGGACACACTGACGCCAATGGCAAGTGCCAAGAAGGGGCCATCCCAGTAGAGTCTGGCAGAGGACATGTGTCAATTCTGGGAGGTGGAGGAGATGGATGATGGATAACATAACTGTTTTGGTTTTTTGGGTTTTGGGGGGTTTTTTTTGGAGAAATTTGGTTGTGCTGTGCAATTTACTGAAATTGGCTGAACATGATTTTCCTTATTAGCCTTCAGGGAGTCAGAGTAAATAGATGATTTGGAAGCTACTGCAACATAACAAAATGGAAAAAATAGGAGATGCCTTCAAAGCTGTGATGAAAAGGCAATTTGATTGGAGAGTTAATGTGGTTTTTAGCTTTCAAGTTGCAGAAGTTACAGGAACCCCCGTTCTTTTCCTTACCCATTAGGTAGGAGATCCAGATCTGCTATTTGAATTTGAGAAAAAACTCAATCCCATTGTTTTGTTCCCTCTCACTCACTGCCCTCAAGCCAATTCTGACCCCGAGTGAGCCTTTAAGGAGGGGCAGCACTGCCCCTGTGGGTTCCTGAGACAAACCCTTTACTCAGGACCAGGACACTTTGCCTTTCCCCCCCATCTTGCCCCTTTCAAATACTCAGCACTTGAAATACTTGTCATACGTACACACTAAGTGTAAACTTTAAGTGACTCACAAGGCTATATAAAAATAACAATTTTCTCATGCATTGCAGTAGAAAACGCACATTATATTTAAATCCACATTGGTCCAGAGCACACGTACTCAGATGGGATCACGCATGCTTCTGTCACCACAGCTGCTGTACTTACGGGGAAGAGGACAATGGGCACGGTCAGCGTAACTGCCACGAGGACCGCCAGGCGTACCATGAGGAGGAGCGTGTCAAATGTGTACACTTTGCTGTAAGCATGAAGCAATTCATCTTCAACTTCTCCTACAAAGAGGAAGGAAAGAATGAGTCCACTGGGTGCTGTCCAGTTGCCGTACAGCGCGGCCAGTGCACGAGGAGCCGTGTGTAATGCTGCCAGGCCCTGTGCCGTTGTCAAGCTCACTGGTGTGCCCTTGTGTATTTTTATGGCCGCTGTGCATTTTGACAGCTTTCCAGCCTAGGAGGGCGCGTCTTCTAGCACTCTATTAAAAACAAAAACCCAAACTCACTGCCATCGAGTCAATGCTGACCCCAGAAACCCCCAGGGGGTTTCTGAGACTCTAACTGTTGACGGGAGTAGAAAGCCCAGTCTTTCTCCCACAGAGCTCCCAGTGGCTTCAAACTGCCGACCATTCAGATTGCAGTGTAACCCCCACTATACCTGAGGATATTCTCCTGTGATCACAGAGATGGGCTTGGCTAACTTTCAGAAAGAGATCATCAGAACGTTCTCCCTAGTCTCTCAGTCAGGAAGCTCCCCTGAAACCTGGCTCCCCTGAGTGATCCTGGGGGTCGTGACATATCAAGGGCATAGTTTCCAGCATCACAGCAAGATGCCAACCACTAGAGCTCAGCAGCAAGGCAATGGTTGTCAAAGTGGCACTGGGTAGCTATGGCAACATTTTATGGAGGAAATGCAGTGAAATGGAATGGACCCCAGTCAGTGAATCCAGACACTTCTACTCTTAACTTGTCTCTGGGCTTCTTAGCTGTTGACTTTTGTTTCAATGAACAAAGAGGTTCTGGATATTATACCATTGCAGCAGCTAATACATTACTAAGGCGTGTCTCCAGTTAGTTTTCCCTGTGATAAATCTATTTCTACTATACAGAAGCATGACAAAGCAGATGGGAAATGAGGAGGACACAGGGCCTAAATTACACTATGGGTCTGGCTGAGGAGGGCACAGGGCCTAAATTACACTAGGTGATCACTCATATCCCACCATCCTTGCACCCACCTGTCCAGCAACCCTTAATATAACTTCTCTGATGAGCTAAGTGACAGCTAAATATTTATGCTTAATAATTATGGCTCTGAAACACACCCTTTTGGATCTTTTCCAGGTTTTTTCCTTATCTCATGATGCTCATTAGAGTATCTATGAATTAATAAAGGATAGATTAATAAGCTATTACAGAATCTTTCAAAGAATAGAGGAATCCTGGTGGTTATGTAGTGGTTATGTATTGGGCTGCTAACCCAAGGTCAGCAATTCGAAACCAGCAGCCACTCCATGGGAGAAAGGCTAGGCTTTCTACTCCCAAAGAGTTCAGTTTCAAACACCCAAAGGAAGCCAGACCCATTCTGTCCTATAGGGTCACTCCAGAGTTGCTCTGGGTCAGAAATGATTCAATGGCTGAGTTTGTTTTCTTGTTCTTAAAAGAATTTCTCTTTTCAAAAACACATTCATTCAGGATTCCAGACTTGAATGTATTTGATAAATTAGATACAGTTTGATTTTCTCACCACTTCCTTCAAAATTTAATTTAAAAAACCTAAAAAAGAAACTGATGTCTCAGAGAAGAAATTTATCTACAGGTCTAATAACCTACAAAGGCCTCAACCTTATGTATGCTGAGACCATCTTAATAGACTAGGAGGAAGGCCCAGAACAGACATAATGCTCTTAAAAAGTCCAGGCTTGCTGGATGTTGAGATTAGAGAACTCTGAAATTGTCTAAGCTTTTTAGAGAGACTCTAAACTTGAACCAAGACTATCTCCTGAAGCCACCTTTTAGTGAAATGACAGTTTGGCACACAGACTAGAGGATATGACCTTTGACTACAATGCCATCTGTATGGGATCAAAAGGTCCACAAGAACTCTAAAGCAAAGATGAGAAGATAAGCTGGCAGGGAAACTAGAAGACTGGAAACAGGACACCCAGAATGCAATTGAAAAGCATATCGCTACATCGTGAAAAATCCAAAGAATCTTACAGAACAGTTTGTGTAGAAATTGTCCACTGGAAACATAGTTTGGCGTGGAAACTTTCAGTGTTACAAAAACAAACAGACAAAGGGTTGAAAACACCTCCAACAGAATTGACCATGGATTTATATTAACTCATAGCCAGTAAAAAGTTAATGTCTAATTTAAAGCAAGTGCTTGGTGAACTGTCCAAGTGGAATATAACTTATGTTTCCCCTTCACCTTCCACTCCAACTTGCTATGCAACCAATTTTGTTTGCTTGACCAGTGAGAAAAAAGAAATCAAGAAAATCAAGAAGTTAGAGAAGTTCATATATAAAATATGCTTATGCTGATACAATGATTAGTGTGACTTATGCCATCAGATCACTGTTTGACTTCCTGGCATTTTTCTGATCTGGGGGGCTATGCTTCAGAGAAAAAAATAAAGATCTGAATTCCCCCCACCTCTTTTTTGTACCATTAAGGTGCCACAGTGAAATGGTTTATGGCGTAAGGCTTATGCCATAAGGCTTATGCCATAAGCCAAGGTAGCTAGGGTCAACTTGGGGGAAGGGGTTGCCGATTTCAGGATGTAAGGTAAATAGTCTTTTCTTGGGAAGCTATTCAATCTAACAGAGTAGAACAGCATAAACAACAACAACAACAGCAACACATCTTGCCTAATGCTCCAAGCCCTTCAGGCATGACTTGACTGATGAATACAAAGCAAGGTCAAACTCAAAGACTTTGTGCTTTTTCTACATCTGCCTGAGTTGGCTCTCCTACCACCAGAGCTGAATACAGCATCCAGCTGTGTCTGTGTACAATATGCCACTGTTTCCGCTCTCGTTGCGCCTATGGGAGATGGACTAGGGAACAAGCCAAAGAGATAGCTGAAGGAAAGTAATTGGAGTGACATTAAAAAAACAACCCAAAACTTATGTGTGAATTCACAAATTGGTGGAACTTGTTAGCCGGACCCCAGTCCTTGGACCAAGTGACAAATGACAAGGGGAAGATAGCACACTGTGATGAATCATCTAGAGGCCATGCCACTTCCGGAGGGGAACTATAGGAATTAGAGCCACCCTCGTGAATGGGCAGTCCCACCGGGATTGGCAGAAGAGAGTGCACGCTGACGGAGACCCACCGTAGAAGGTGAGATAGCCAAAGAGAGCCGCAAGCAGGTACATGAGGAGCATCCCAGTGATGGAGACATTGGACACTGTCTGCATTTTCCTCCGGGACCGACTGCAAAGGAAACGAACACAGCTTTGTTTGGGTTCTTGACTTCATGAAAACAAATGGTTCTTAAAGTTAAATGCTACTAATGAAAGGATGTGTATGTTTCTCTTTGAAAAACACTGGCGCATAACTTTATACGCCCCAAACCCAACCCCCGGGCTGTGGAGTCCAGGCCAACTCCTTCATAGTCGCCGCGCCTACCCCCCAGGCGTTTCAAGGCTGCACATCTACACCCACGCCCACTGTCACCACTTCCTCCGACGGAGCCGCTGGCGGGTCACAAGCGCCGACCTGTCCGTTAGCAGCTGCCACGCGCTTTAACCACTGTGTCACCAGCGCTCCTTCATGAACTGATGGCTGATTGAAATTTGTTTGAGAGAGCTAGGGAGAATCTGTTCTTTGTTTCTGACACACTACTTCTGCCTTGGAAACAACCATAGATGAGAAACAGTTTCTCTCTCTCTCGTCGATAAGCGAGCTGGTGTGCTAAGCAGTTAAGAATACCATTCAATAAGGGTCAAATGGGCTCCTAACATGGCAAACTCCACCTTGTGTCAGCACAGCACAGACTTCTGCAAGCCTGATGCTGTCCCCGGGACAGCCCCTGGAAGCTGGGCTCGAGGGGGGCTCGCTGCCCGAGGCCAGTCATCAGGCGTCTGGAGTAACTGTTAGTGGTTTCCGAGTAAGCCCAATCCCTCAGGACAAATGACGGTGCTCCGGAAGCTATGTAAGTGGCACCTCAGAATGTATGAGCAGCATTACTGTCACGTGTTGGAGACCGGGGTTGTTGATTGGGTTAAGAGGGTGTGCATTCCGATGTGACACTTTCAAAATTACTAATAAACCGCGGAGCAGTGGGTGGAAGACAGCAGACAATGGCAGCCCAGCGCGCGTGGAAAATGCCTTCTAGACAAGGGGCAGGAGGTACCACTGTTTCTTTTTTTCTCACCAAAATTCACACTCGTCACACTTGCACAAACCATGGGTACGGTGCCCTGCACCCTCGGGGGGGGCGAGGAACAGGAGAGCACGAAGCTGGAAGGTCGGGCACTGAACGAGCCGATCCAGGCCCCAGTGGTTAAAGCTCATCACTCAGGAGTGGTTGCAACACACACACTTTCTCGAGAGAAAGCTACCAACTGCGCTTCAGCAGAAAACCCCTTTGCGAACATGTGACCACAGTTTGAAAACAGACGGAAATGAGAAAATGATGGCTCTCTTACTCTTTCAGTTCACTGTAGATGGGGAGGACCTCGGGGTGGCAGACAAAGGCAAATGCCAGGATGGGAATTGCATAGGCCGTCTGCAAAACAAAGACAATACCTTCTGCTTAGCGTTCCAGCAGGGCTGGCCACTCCAGCCTGGCCCAGCCCATGAAATAAACATTCAGAGACCACCCTACCGGACTCACTAAAGGCTTACAGTGTTACTCACCCGAGAGTTGAATGCGAAATACTTGGGTTGACACTTGTCATCATTGTTGGCTTCATACTTGACCCCACTCCCATGGAGAGAGTCCTTGGCTGGATCCTCGTCCCGCCCTGCAAGGCCCCGGTGGGTGTCATCCATCATGAAGTTCACCTCATCGCTCTCAGAGTTGTTGGGTAACATCACCAGGTGCATCGGAAGTGTATTGTTCAATGTTAGATTTCCAGCATGGTGATCAAGAGGAGGCAGAGGGCAGGGGATCTGGAATTTCTTATAAATCACCTAAAGCCAGTCAGTTAACAAAAAGGAAAAGAAAAAAACTAAGTAAAACATCCAAACCAACTCAACCCTTTGAGGAAAAAAAAAAAGAAACAAAAATCTCTGCTTTTCTCAGAGCTGGGGAAACTGTTAAAGATTCCGTCTCCATTCGAGTATAAGGGAGAAGCTTCCTTTAAAGAGCCATTGGGCCCCTCGAGTCAGCAGGATGGGGCTTTTTGCATTAATTGATCCCAGCCTTTTCTACCTTTCTACAAGCAAGACAAAAGGAACCTTGGGCCACTACTGAGCAAGCAAATCTTGGACTGATAACCTCATGGTTGGTGGTTCCAACTATGTCACTCAGATGGAGAAAAAAGAGGTTATCTACTCCCATAAAGATCTGCAGCCTCAGAAGCCCTGTGTAGGGCCACTAGGAGTCAGAATCCCATTGATTGATGACAGTGGGTAAGAAGGATCACGAGTTTCTGACAACATTGTATGTCTTGTATTTCTTCCAACTAATGATAACATGAGTCATCAGCAAATACTAAGGGTCAGTTAAGCTCAGTAGCTTTCTTCCCCCTCCCTTTCCTTCTCTGGAGGAAATGGTGTTCTCATTTCGACAGCAAATACTGCAAAAAGATGCTGCCTTTTCTGGGGAGAAAGAATACTTGTTTCCTTTTTAGTTCCACAGTGTTTGGATGTGGAACTCTTTCCAAGAGTAGGATGTGTAAATGTCTATGGCTGATTTGTGCAAATATGGCCAATTAGACAGCTTCTTCCCAGAGGCCCCTCAGGAGAAAGACAAGGTGATTTGCTTCTGAGAGTCTGCCATTAATGGCCACGGGGACGACAGTTCTCGTCTGAGTCTCATGGATCACCCTGAGTCAGAGTTGAATTGATGACATCCCCACTTCGCCCCACCGCATCCATAACCACCTCTCCTTCCACCCTCTACCTGCTGGTATATTGTCATGTTCCTACTTGAAGGTTCCCAACTATATCCCCAGTGTGCCCAGAGCATACCATTAGCAGTAGCCTTAGCATTTTAGGCCAACTATTTTGAAACTCACAATAGCTCTCTTTACATTCCAAGTCAGAACCCAAGAAACTTGTTTGTGACTCAAGAGCTATGTCATGCTATTAAACAGCTTGAAGAAAGGAAGGCAGGCACAAAGTCCAGGCACTAAATGACTCTCCTGCTATGTGAAGCTCTGAGGATCGTGTCAATAAGTCACTTACCACACTGACAAAAAACACCATGCACGTAAGAGAAAATCCACTGGTATAACCAAGGTAACCTAGGAGTTAGCAGAAAAATTCTGGGAGGTGAATATGGCATTGGCAATCAACTTATCAATTAGAATATGAAATGTAAATAAAAATACTTTCAGTTCAAAAAAATGAGCGTACCTAAATTTTTAAGAAGAGAAAGTGGAAGAATAATTCCTATAGACACAAATACGACGAGGTAGTTGCCATTGAGGTACCACTCCCTAGAGGAAAGGAAATGAGGGTGTTAGAATGAGAAGGGCCACGTAGAATGAATCAGTAGATGCTAGAGGGAACATCAACCATACCCAGCATTCTCTTCAAGTCCCATGAATGTTCTGATCACTTCAGGTAGTTCATATTTGATAATAAAGAGGTAGCTCGACATTGCTAAAAAGGAAAATGTGACATATGAGTAGTGTGCTGAGCACTAACAGCATATCTAAGTTACTAAGAAGTCATGACATTTAGAATATCCTTTCATCTCAGCAAGATGCACATCAAATCGATCCCTCCCTCAAATGGAAAGAGAAGTCATCGTGTAGTGCACACTGCTTCCAAGTTCTTTTCAAAAATAGACATTAGGCTCTCTGATTCTGGCACGTGGTCCCTCACTGACAACAGAACTGCTGTTTCATGTGAAACCCATGATGCCAAGATGCAGATGTTTAGCGCTCAGCGACAATCCTAAAGGTTGGCAGTTTGAACACACCCAGAGGCCCGGTGGAAGATGTCCCGTCTGCTTCTGTCAAGATTCCAAGTGTGAAAATCCATTAGTGATGTTCAGTTCGGCAGCACCTGGAGTGACCAGGAGTTAGAATCAACTCAGCTGCAGCGCTGGTTGGCTGGCTTGTGTTAAATCCAGGGGTTTTGAGGGAAGTGAAAGTAGTATCCAAGTTTTATCCTCATTAGTTATAAATTAGCCTGGCCCCTACTGAGAGGGTCTGTTGCAGGGTCTAAAACCTAGGCAAGGGTCTGGCAACAAAAGGCAGGGGCCAGGCAGAGAGGGCTCAGTAGCGGGCAGATCTGAGTGGGCTACACAACTCTCTGTCTTTGTCCAAACGGGCATCAGTCTAGGTCTCTGGGGTCTTCGTGACAGGCACACACAGTCTTAGACGGTTCATTGGCTAAACTGCCACCATCTTAAGTAAAGAATGCAAGCAGAAAAGCCTGCACCAGGAAGACTCAGGCCGCCGTCCCCATCCCTCTCTCTCTCCCCTCCAGGACCAATAGGCCCTGCTGATCCCTGAGTGGGATGGCTCTTCACTTCTGCAATACAGAATGGCCTCCAAAAAATTGCATTGCAACTACTGGGAAAGAAACAGAATGGAAAGAATTCAAAAGTCGAGAGGCTGCACCTGCAGCCTCTATGGTAGAAAAAGGGCTGGCCGGAAATGTCGTGAATGGGAAGGTGGAAGGTTTCCGGAAATGGAAGGGATTTACAGATGCTGATTAAGACTTGGGAACCTGAAGAAAATTTAGATGGCCTGGAAGTAATTGAAGAATTTCTCAATTCTCAAAAAGCTGGTTGAAAAAAAACGGATGGTACAAAAAGAAAGTCTGAATCTGATGACCGCACATCGAAGCAGAGGAGAGATGCCGCTGACGAGCCCAGGGGCTGGGCCGGAGCTCGTGCGCCTGCACGGGCCACCGGGGCCCCAGACAGACAGCACGGGGGCAGTCCGGGTTCTCACGAGATGGAAGATTCCGCTGAGGCAGGCCTGGTGCTGGCAAAAGGGGCAAACGTGGAATGCCTTCCAATTATGTTTGTGTTTTCTGAAGAGAGGCTACCTTGGCACTCTTGTCCAGGAGATGAAGCCCCATAATTGTTTGCATTGCTCTTTGTATCTATTTACAGATGGATACAACATTGGGGGTCTGGGGTATTTTTGTTTTTGTGTCTTTAATTATAAGTGTGATGAATAACTACATTCTAATGGAAACCAAGTTTGATAGGTTTGTTTGGAAGTCGTATGAGGGGAGTTGTCGGGGCGATTTTGTGGTTGTTGCATCTCTACCACTGGTCACTTTGAACAAATAAAGCTTTCTATAGTTGCTTCATGTACTGGGTGGGGGTGGGGTGGGAGGGAGGGGAGAATGAAGGAGACAACGGTTTCCCCACTGGGACATTCACCAATTAAGTATGATCTTTAGATCGTAGATGCCCTTTAGCCAAACAGGAAATTGTCCAAAGTGGGAGAAATGTGGAGCTTCTAGAAAAGTGACTGAGCCCACGGGCGGTTAACCTAAGTGACTGCGCAATGACAGGCTGGAGACCCAGGCCCATTCCAGGGATGCCTGGAAAGAAAAGTCTATTGAGCTACTTTCAAATTACCGGGCGCCCAACCGCATGTAGCACAGCTCTCCACTGATGCGCATGGGAGTCCCGTGAGTCAGAATCAACTGTGAAGTGCTATTTGTGTGATCATGTATGCTCTTAAGAATCTGATGAAATTTCTCCCAGAAAGTGTATTTCTACATATGGGTAACATGCAATTTGCCTATAATTGTAGGGCTTTCTTATTACACGCCTCTCCAACGCCATTCTCTCAGTGAAGTCTAATACTATTTTTTTAGGTGGCATATGGTCAAAAGACTCAGTGGGAAAAAAAATCGACACGTTTTAGAGAGCTCTTTTAAGTATGTGCTCCGTCCTTAGCGTGGCTGTTTGCTAGAAGACATTTACAACGGATGTCCATGGGGTGGAACTGACTCAGTGGCAACTAACCACAAAGGTTTCAAAAATATTTCCTTAACTTCAAGCACAAGTTATAACGTTGGCAATCTCCCGCATTGTTTAGTTCGTCACGTCATTTCCTGTGATCATCCAAAAGGCCCGGTGAAATGAGATGTCTGCTATTACACTCATTCCACGGGTGGAATTACACTCTTTACCCCATTGACTCTGAGTCAATTCCGACTCATAGTGACCCTCTAAAGCAGTGGTTCTCAACCTTCCTGATGCCACCACCCTTTAATACAGTTCCTCATGTTGCTGTGAGCACCCCCCTCAACCATAAAATTATTTTCATTGCTACTTCATAACTGTCATTTTGCTACTGTTATGAATCGGGCGACCCCTGTGAAAGAGTCGTTCAATGCCCAAAGGGGTCGCGACCCACAGGTTGAGAACCACTGCATAGGATTTCTGAGGCTGTAAATCTTTATGGGAGCAGACACTCTCTTCTTTATCCTGTGGTTTTGAAGCACTGCCCTTGGGGTTAGCAGTTCTATGCTTACCAATGTAACATCACCCTGCTGGAAAATGACAGACCACACCTAAATTAGAAATCCCCCGACTTGTCTATTGTCAAAGAGAAATCATTTCATACAATACCATGTCTGTGTTTGGTAAACATTACTTGTTTAATCTTTACAGAGAACTTGGCTAATGTTAAATCTTGGAGAGAGTAAGCAGGGGAGAGTTCTGATTAACTGGCTCAGTGAGACCCCATTCAAGTTTCAGAGCTATTAATTGCTTGCTTTCAGGGATGTCACCACTGTTCATGTGTTTGATCTTCTCAAATTCGGAATGATCCAGACCTGTCTGAGCAAGGTCAGCTTTGTTCTGCTAATACTAAACTATCTGTGGTAGATGTTAATTTTCTAATGGATTGAGAAGATAAAGTGTGATGTCCCCCATTCTCAATTCTCCACTAACTGCATAAGGCCGCGAACACGAAAGCATTTTCAGGGTGATATGATGAAATTTCCTACCGCTCTTGTAAATTTCATCCCCCCACATTTCTTATGGGTGTATGGACCACTCTGTAGTTTATCCCAGTGTTTAAATTCATAACAATGGCCAAGACTGCTGGGGTCAGCGCTAAGTATGCTTGCATATAATTATTACAGGTGTCAAAAACAAGGACATTAGACCGACTGTGAACTGTTTGATAAGTTTCACCTTGAAAGGCTGAGCCCGTTTGCTGAATGTAAAGAAATCTGTTTTGTAGAGGAGGAAGGAGCGTCTCTGCTCATGGCCCCAACCCAGTAAAACGAGCAACCCCGTCGTGATTGTCAAATCCACCCCAGGACTGGAGTCGTGATGTATAAAAATGTGAAAAGAATCACACACAAATCACTACAATATGGAGACACTTCACTTTCCTGGTTCTTGACTACCCATGACCAGGAGCAAATGTTGTTGGAGAAAGGTAATTGAACCAACTGCTCCACCCGAAATCCCAGGCACACCTTCAGTGTGTGTTTGCATCAGATGTTCCCTTCTCTCAAGAGGTCTGTACAAATGCATGAAAAGAAGCGCCGTTTGGAATAGTGAAAAACTGGAAGCAGTTTGATTGTTCATCAAGAAAGGATTTGGTGTAGAAAATGTTTTGGAAATGATGATGGCAACATCTGTACAAATATGTTTGCTACAAATGATGCGTGGCATGTTATAAGAGCTGTCAGAGCCCCCAATAAAATGATTATTTTTAAAAAAGGAAGGATTTGGTAAACCAATTATGGCGCATTTGTACAATATAAAACTCTCCAGAAATCACTGGAAGAATTGCAGGTAAATACATTCACGGCCTATTATTAAATTAAAAACGAATGCAAACTGCAAAGCAGTATTATAAGATCATTTGAACCATAATACTATATTGGTTAAATTAAGCAAAGAGGACAGAGAACCTGGGGTAACTTTTGAGGGTGACTTACGTAAAGGTTTCTTTGTGATTTCTGTATTGATGAGCTGCTTTAGTTTTTCACGACTAGTTTGCATTTGTTTGAGAACTCTAAAAATTCCGAAAAGAACTTGAGGGGCATGCGGCGGAAGCAGAGAATATGGAGAAAGGACGCACACACCGAGTTTTCTTCACACACCCTATGTTCTCTTGTTTAACCCTCACCGTGACCTCGAGAGTATGGGGTATCATTCTCATCTTCAGAGATGAAAGAAGACCGATGACAGAAAGATGATTTTCCCAACTGACAGACACAGATTGTGACTCAGGTGCATCGACCTCCAAGAGTCAATTTTCTACTTCAAGGGTTTTAAACTGTCTTTCTGACAAACAGTGAACATGCCGGTACATGCCAACAGGACCGAAGAATCCTTGAGAAACAGCCTAACCCCTACAGCAGGGAGGAATCACACAAAGAAAGAGAAGTTGTGTGTGTGAGTGTGTGGGCACGCGTGGGGTGTATGTGTGCATGTTAGAGTGGGTGGATCGTCAAAAAACATTCAAGAGGATAAAATTACACGCACACTGCAATCACAGAAAATAAAATACATATACTAAATTAATGCCACTGGGGAATGTACTGTGATGCTCTGATGCAGGGTGTGTTGGAGAGAGAGACTCGATGGACAGATGACAAATAGGTAGATTGGGGGTGGGAGGCGCTAGTAGAGAGGTATCAGAAAGGAAACTCACTGCCACTGAGTGGACCCTTATTCACAGTGACTCCATCGGACAGGGTAGCACTGCCTCTTTGGGTTTCTGAGACTAAATCTTCACAGGAACAGACAGGCAGGGAACGCCATGACGAGCCAGGGAGTCAGGTCAAGGAATGAACAATTGACCTTGGAAACAGGAGCACGTGCTCAAGAAATTCCTGCCTGGGAGAAGCAGGGGTAGATATGAACTTGAAAAATTTTATCTGAAGGGTGAATTAGAGATGGGAGGGGGCAGGGGGACTCAGGCAGGGGGACTAGGGAGAAGGCTACTGCACCAGTCTGAGCTAGAGATGGTGAACTGTGGTGGGCAGGGGAAGAGAGGAGAGACTATGAGATAAATAGAGAGATAGGATGGGGAGGATTTGGTATTTGATTGGGTGTGCAGGATGATGGAGAAAGAGAAACGTTTGGGTTACCTCCCCAGCTTTCTGGTGTAAGAAACTACAGTTCAGTTCACTGCAAGGAGGAAGAAAGAGCCAGAGCAGCAGGTCTGGGAGTGGGTAGGCAGGAAGGCGAAGTCCTGCCCAGACAGCAGGAGCTAGCCAGTAAGACACATGAACCTGGATGCCATCTCTGGGTCAGAAGCACAATCTCTTACATCTCAGAATCAGTGTGCAGATAACGCTTGGAGCTATGTTAAAAATAATGCATTTCTGGGTTCTTCCCCGGAAACTAATCTGGCAGGAATTCTAAGACCCTGTAGGCCCAAGGAATCTGTGGTCTGCAGTGTTTCTGCAAAATCTTGAGGAGGCTGGTTCTGGGTGGGGCTGAGTCTTTAAGAACCACAGGATTTGTCTGTCCACAAATATGTAAAATTTCAGTTTAATGAAAGAAACTCATCCATACATATGTAACCATGACAGAAATACACAATAATATCCCCATTTTAAAAGGTATTAATTAAAGCCGTATAAGCAGCGGTTCTCAACCTGTGGGTCGAGACCCCTTTGGGGGTTGAATGACCCTTTCACAGGGGTTGCCCGATTCATAACAGTAGCAAAATTCCAGGTATGAAGTAGCAATGAAAATAATTTTATGGTTGGGGGTCACGACAACATGAGTAACTGTATTAATTAGGAAGATTGAGAACCACTGCCTTATAGCATTAGACATCAAGAAAGGTTTTCTCCTCTACTTTAATTTTAGAATTCACTTGGTGGGGCCATATGGTTTTTCATTCTCAGATACTGTTATTTTAATTAAACAGAGGCAGCAAAACTATTTAAGAAACTTTATGTTTTAAATTTAAGACCTTTAAACTGCTATTTTGTTTTCAAAGTCCTTATTAACTGCCATCAGGTTTTTCTGTTTATTGAACATTCTAATGAAAGCTAAATCAGTCTATTGAAAGTCATAACCCCTTACCTCCAATGTTCTGCATTGTAATGGATATAAAAGTTCCGATTTTTCCAGGCCATCCAAATGCCTTTTCTCCCAAATTTTCATAAATTAGGGAGCCTAAACCAAAGATAAAATTACCTCATTAAAAGAATTGTTATAATGCCTTAAGTATTGACACAGTACAATCCTACACTGGGGTTTCATGCAAGGATATAAGCACCACACACAAATGATATCAAATGTTATGCAAACACTAAGCAACAGTTTCATTTACTTCCAGTGCCCGCAAGTCAGAATTATTATCTCCATCATCTACCCCAAGTCATTTCTTTTTCTATTCGACTTGACCCTGAACCAGTTGACTCATTCTCACTTGGGCTAAATTGCAAAAGATACTGAAAGATCGTGTCACTGGTGTAAGAAAAAGAAAAGTGAAATAGACTAAAATCATGATAATTCCATGGAACTATAGATTGAAGAATCTTTTGTGAACATTAAAACAGGAGGCGTTGAACTGAGGGTGACATACCTCCTTCCTTGGACGTCTTTAATAAAAGATGAACCGAGTAGAGGGATAATATTGCCACTGCAAGCAACATGATTCTGTAATGGGAAGAGAGTAGAAAATAAAATGTCTATAACAAATAAGGCAGAATAATGTTAAATATTACAACAAACGATCCTTGGGACCATCTTTCCAACCATTAACGTTCCCAAAGTATGTAGATTTTGTGAAGTTAAAAAACACCACACTTATCCTGTCATGTCCCAGGCTCGAATCTGATTTCTTTTAAATGCCAAACTTTAGCCTTGAGTACTTTTAGATTAGAGTTACTCAACTGTAGATCCCAATTCATAATTTAGGTGATAAATATTTAGCAAAATTAGTTCTACTGAGTTTACTCAATCAGCATATATATCACATATATGTTTGTATGGCAGTCACATGAACATGTAGGCTTGAATGTCTCTTCAATATCCTGGTTAAGCCCTTCATGAAAAATCTAGAAATATGGATGCCAAAGCAGGTACTGGCTAAATCCCAGTGTAGCTAGTGCACACGCAGGAGAGACACACGACTGTCTGCTCCTGGAAAGATTTCCAGACTTGGACACCTGGGGGAGCAGCTCTCCTCTGAGGGTCTCGGAGTCACAACCAACTGGATAGCAGTGGGCTTGGGTGATGCAAACACCTAGAGCACTTGACTGCGAACCTCCAGGGTGGCGGTTAGACTCCACCCCGAGGCACCTCAAAGTAAAAGCCTGCTTGTCAAGGCCTTAAGACTCGGCCATTGAAAACCCTCTGGAGCAGAAAGCTACTGTGAGTCAACTGGGCGGCAACTGGTGATCATGCCTATCTAGCTGATAGAGGGCAGAGGGCCTTGGGAATCAGAGGCGTAGTTGTTGAGAAATCAGAGAAAGCTAAGTACAAAGTGCAGGGAAATTCCCTTTTGGTATCCAGAAAAAAATACCTTCTAGTTTTAGAACCTTCTACCTGTTCACATGCATGTGTGGCATATGTTTGATTTACATATTTTGCTATACAAGAAATGTAGTGATCAGTGTTCCCCCTAAATAAATAAGGGTTATGGATAGAAGCATCTACACAGTAAATGAAGGGCCAGTACTAAACTTTACCTGAAATTAGAAAAAAAAAGTTATATTGTTGTCTATTTTGCACAATGTGAGAACACTAGTAATTTTCCCCACAGTTGATCTAATTCTTCGGTAATTCCTGATGAGGTCAATATGCATTTGGGACCATGGGTTATCACTACTCAATATAACTAGTCCTATTTTGCTATTTTGTACAACATTTGTTTACCAGAAATGTGTAACAAATGACTTATTCGGGCTTTTTTTTCAATGTATTGTATGGATTTACCTCTTTCTGGAGAATTTTGTAATTCAGATTACATCATTTAGTTCCTTATGAAAATAGGAAGCACACCCTGTATTCTAGATGAATATTTGCTTTGATAGAAAGTATTAAAAGTAAAACCAACCAGGCATTGTGTCCCTTGCTCTGAATTACAGAGAGAGCTGAATCTACTTTGTTACACACACACACACAAAACACATCCCTTGATGCTTAGCAATTCAATTGCTCTGACAAGATTAACCTGCTAGATGTTTATGTGTCTGGAATAAGGCTTTTGTTTTTAATGAAATGAGATACAACTTTAGGATTACAAATGTCTCCTAGTCTTATTTATCAGAGATTTACAATAATGCCCTAAATAATTATACTATGTATGTATGTACAATTAATAAGGAATAAGCAGTCTTTTAAGGAGTCCTGTGGGTCTCAGGGATTGAGTGTTGGGCTGCTAAGCACAAGGTTGGGAGTCCCAAAGCACCAAGTGTCCCTCACGAGCAAGGAGAGGCTGTCTGCTTCTGTGAAGATTTACAACCTCTGACACCCTCCGGAGCAGTTCTACTCGGTCCCTATGTGTCAAAATCAATTCAATGGCAAAGAGTTTAGTTTGACTTCTGTAGACAGCCTTTTTATCTTAAAGATCCTGGATACTACAAAAGTAAACACAAATGTACACATGAATGTATCTCTAGCCATGAAAATTTAAATAAAACTAGTTTATTTGATGCAAGGCTTATTATAGAAGCACAATAAATATAAAGACTTACTAAGCAGAAGAGTATGATACATAAAATAGTCCAATCCAAGCACAAGCTGCTTATTATCTCACTACTATAACACAAATATTTATAGTCCTGATCTTTAGCTCTCAAATAGCTATGTGATTAGCTAATCGTATGTGATACTCAGAATGTAAGTAGTGTATTTTTATAATATAAATGCTGCATTCCTAGACAATTATTTAATTCTCTAGCTCTGCATTTGGATTGTGATCTGCATCGACATAGTTTCCAGACTAAATTAGATTTTATTTTTGTGAAAAATGTCACGTCTTCCAACAATGTCTTGGAGAATGCCAATCTGTTATGCCATGCACGTAAGCATCTGTGGCTATCTGTCACAGATGGGGAAGCCATGTTCCAGGTCAGCTCACAATGCTGCTGCTCTTAGGCAGCTTGGGACCAAGTATGCTTAAAGTGCCACAGGCTTAGCAGTGGCTTTAGTTGCCCATCAAATCTCCCCTGTGCCTAGCACTATGTGGGAAGACACAGGGAGGCAGACATGTGGTGTGTGAAAGACCAACATGGCTCACCCTCTGGAGATTTTAGACTAGCAAAGGGGATTTGGAAAATAAATCCGACAAATGTGCTAAAGTATTAAAACTGCAGTGAGGGCATCCTAAAATCATTGGTCCCCATCATGGAAGTCAGGGAAGGCAGCACTGAGGCCGGGCCTGAGCGATGACAAAAGGAAGGGAGCAAGGAAGAGCATTCCATGCAGGGGAAGACTCACACGCACCAGCCCTGTGGGGGAGAGGAACGTGGCACCCTCACGAGATATACAGAGGCCAACGAACCTGGCACATACAAGGACACGGGGAATGGCTTAGGAGACAGAGACAGGGAATGCAAACCTCATCAGGCCAGGTGAGGGAGGGGGTTCTTTAAACGTGGCAGCAACAAATTTGCTTCTGGGAAAGATCTTTATGACCAAGTAATGTTTAAGCACCCACTGAATGGCTTTGTAAACTGGCTCTGATGGACTGGTAGCCCCGCTTTAGCCCCACCAGCGTAGACACTTTCTGGGATCTGGTTAGGGGCTTTGAGCAAGTACCATGAGGCTGCTCCGATCGTTCTAATTTAGGTTGTTCTTTCTCCGAGTGCACGACAAACTGATGGCTGTATTCTCAGCACAGTCTGCAGTCACCAAGCTCAACCTTGGGATGGTTAACTTAAAGAATGGCTACCAGGCAGGTACCGCCTTTATCCCTGAAGGCGGACACGCAAATCCACTTACACAAAAAGTATAATCCCCGTGTTGGCCATGGCGTAGGACAAGCCCAGGATTCCGCTGCCCATGATGGCGTTACTCAGGTTGAATGAAGACATCCCAAAGGAGGCGGCTCCAGGGTGCTTGAAGGAAAGGAGACCTGTCATAAGCACACACTTGCCAAACGAAGACCCTTTCTTCTCAAAGAGGATGCCTACTCTCAAATTATCTCTACTGGAGGCGATGAAAGCTCCAAACTCACAATAAAACAAAATATCAAAATGAAGAAAAGCTATCAGACAACCTCAATGAAAAGCCTGGAACTTTCCATGAAAGGCAGTGCTTGGCCTGGGGGTGTGGGGGTGGGTGGGCGTGGGGGGGGGCGGTGGTTCTAGAGTACAAAATACAGGTCGGGTAACAAAGAGGAGACAGCATGTATGGTTACAGATTACATTTGGGTCAGAATGATCTTCTCCCCAAAAACAAATAAATTTCATAAATGATTTATGCAGCCATATGGGCGAACAGGAAAAACAAGCCCTTCTTCCAGTAAGGGCCTGAATAAACAGAGAATGTGCTGATCAAGGCTTGGAAAATTTCAGTCACCTTGTTTTCCCACCTAGTGACCCAGTAGAGCAGACACCCTTCGGACCTATTTTCTGCCTCAGAGCAGGGGTTAACGTACGTGCTCGTCGTCATACTCCGCCAGCTTCTTCTTCCGAGAATATCCATCTGTCAGGAATTTCTGACTTTCAGCATCTTCGTTCGCGAATTCACTACACACACACACACACATACACACACAAGGAAGATAAGTGCAAACAGCTAAGGAAAGGCTCTAGAGCACCGAGGGCTATCAGATGGTCTAAGTAACCGGATAGGAGGGGAGACAAACACCTAAGGATCTTTTTGGTTTTTCCCTCCTTCCCACAAATGTTCCTTCCAGACTCTTAACTAGACTTCATTAATGAACCCACTTTCAGGGGTAGGAGAAAGCTATTGTGTGTGGTTGTTCCCCCCACCCCCAAGGAATGTCTGATGCCATGTTTCTGCTTTGCCACAGTAACTGCATAAGAGTGAGGATATCTAGAGCTGATTGTCCCCCTTTAGGCCCTGTCCCCCAAACGGTACAGAGTCCTGACTCTAGTGAGCATTCTCGACTACTTTGGCTTCATAATCATACGATTTTAAGAACTCCAGTTGTTAAAGCACCTATCATGTACCAAGCACTGTGGTCCTCACCTCATTTGATGCTCCGAACACCTCATGTGTCTACTCTAAGGAGGGGCAACTGTGGCTCAGAGGAAGAAAGGATGGGGTGCGCATGACAGGCAGGCTCCATGCCTACATGCCTCTATAGCACCACACAATTTGAGGGACACAGATGACCACACAATGTGAGCGACACAGATGTCACTGGCTCCATGTTATTTGCTCCATCTTTTAATACACACCCCTTGCTCAGTGTTGTGTTTAGTTGGCTGTGTGTGTGTTTTTAACTACTCTGAAAATGTCCCTGGGTTTTTAAATAATGAATGCAGTTTAGAAAAACATAAAGGAAATGAAGGAAGTACAGAAGATTGGAAGTGTGGTTTATGGAAGCACAACTGCATAGCGGGGCCATAGATGCCTCCTCTGACGATACCGTTTAGGGTAGGGCTTACTGATTATTGACCTAGTATCAATCACATCCCCCCCAAAATCTTGGCTAATGAGTCCAGCTACCACCACTTTTTTAGCACTGGAAAAGAAAGAAAGACACCCAACAGGCTGTTTCATGATATAAAATGCTCAATTGTGCATACTTTTAAGTTATATTTTTCACTAGGTATATTACAATGTTTAGGGTACTATATTTTTTTGCATGAAGGAGAAAATTAAGACAATATGAGAGATTTTTAAAAATTAAAATAGCCCTTATAAATCAAAAGAAGAAAATGGTTATGATTGTATAATGATTCTCAAACCAAAACTAAACTCAAGGCCTTCAAGTCGATTCCTATAGGTCCTAGTGACCCTACAGGACGGAGTAGAAGTGCCCCGGTGGGGTTCAGAGGCTGCTAATCTTTATGGGAGCAAATGCCACCAAGGCTCCTTACTCAAAGACTACCAAACCCAAACCAAACTGAGTACTGTTGAGTTGATTTCCACTCAGTGAATCTACAGGACACAGTAGAACTGCCCCGGTGGGGTTTTGAGGCTGTACATCTTTATGGGAGCAGAAAACCTCATTTCTTCTCCCTTGAAGCAGCTCGTGGACTTGAACTGTTGACTTTATAATTTAGCAACTCAACATATAACCCACTACATCACCAGGGTTCCTATGATAATAAGCAGATCCATACAAAGTATCTTTAATAACAGGTGATACGCTTTCAAATTATCTGATGGAGGAGGAGGAGGTCTGAGTTACTTTTCGAGGCTAGAGAACAAAATGAACTGCAGATCCCAGGAGCAAATAAAACCAACAAGATGCATATACTTTTCTAGAACTCAAGGCATTCTTACAGTGTACAAGTCAGGGACATTTCTAAGGATTCTCCTCATAGGAGAAATATGGTAGCGAAAGGTCTGTCTTTAGCACCTCCGGTAAATGTAGTTTTTATATAAAGATTAGAACATAATGTTCGTGACTGGAAATTATTGAGACAAGAGGGTACAATAAAGCCTAACATAGGCCCAAGGGTGATAAAAGCAAAAGTGTCACTTGGAATTTAAACTCGGGAATATTCACCATCCTTACCTAATGAACCAGAATCTTGCTTTCCATGAATCCTTTAAACTATTTTAAAAATTGTAAATAAGAACAATATTTTCTTTTCTGACGTGTTTTCATGTTCTTATTTTAGCATGAGATGACCTATGGTCATAAAACATGACAAGATTCTATAACATAGATGAAAAATGTCCCAGTGTCCTCAGTGTTTTGATGCCAAGCCCAGCATACATTGAAAATGTCAGTACAGTGATTCCAAACAAATGCACCGTGTCACCTTTCTCAAAAACGTACACTAAAGAACCAATCTAAGCTTCGCCAAGACAGAGCTCATCTTTTGGACTGATGATAGAATCATAGACCGATGCCCGAGTGGGAGTGGGGAGCTGAAAAGAAGGCCGTGCGAGCGCTGCGGGAGCCGCGGGAGGTCATGCACACCCTTTCCATCGTGGCGACAGACTGGACAAGGAGCTTGAAATATTGCTGGGTAGAACCAAGGGAAGACGGTTCATTACAGAATGTGTTGGGGTAAGGGATGTGTCAAAGTTAACTCCTACGAGTCTGCTTAAATTGTTGAATGACAATGGGGACCACAGGCAATGCCCCCATTATAGGCAGGCTCTGTTACTGAGTCTTTAGGTCATTGATGGAAGTAGAATGTAAATTAGAAAAGGGTATACAGTTCTTATTTAGCCTTACTTTAGTGCAAAAAAAGGAGAACACTTGGGCTTTGAACCACAAGTCAATTAGTTCTCTATCTGCTCCCATAAAGACTTACAGTCTTGTAAACACGAGGGAGTCATTCTGCTCTGCCCGATAGGGTTGCTCTGAGCCCGAATGGACTCGATACCCGGGTCTGTGTAGTTGTTGTTGTTTGATTGTTTAGTACATCAGTTCCCAAACGTACATGGTCTACTGTCCCCTTTCAGAAATACAAACAGAGAACCCTAAAACAAAACTCAGCGTCCCCCGGCAATCAACATTTCTTGATTGTTGTGAGGCCAGAATCCAGGACGAAGTACAGGCATCTGCTTTTGCAGCCCCCACGGATTGCTCCAGGGCCCCAGGGGCACTCTCACCCACTTCGGGAGATGCTGGTGTAGTGCAAGAAAAGGTGCGGGGCCTTGCCCAGGAGTTTAAAGCTGCACATAGAGCAAGCAGAGGCGATTTTGCTGAGGAATCTGCTTGTCCAACAGCTTCCAAGTGATGGGAGATTTATGTAACACTAAAAGACAAGTAAGAGTTGTCTATCAATCTAATGGTAGTAACTCAGAGATGGCCTATTCACCGGGATGGGGATTCCTGGGAGCCGAGTTTATGAAAGGTAGTTTAACGCCAGCTGTCGCAGGTTTCCTTTCTATATGAGGTAACTTAGACTTGTAGAGATGAACAGTTGAGAGCTATAATAGTCTGAAATGGGATGAAAATATGGCATAGAGTTGGTGGTTGAAGTCACGATACTTAGGAATGACCTTACTCGAAGGACACTTTTTCAGAGAGAAGCGACCGTAGAGAACACACATGCAGCCACATTTGAAAGACACTTGAGAAAGCTGAGTGCAAGGGGCAAGAAGATGACAGGATAATATAATTAAACTATTCTATATTCCTGACGGGATGAGGACCAGAGCACGTCAATTCTAAACCCGTCACACACAAGATGGTGGGAATAGATATAGGAAGTTCATAGACAGGTAATCAAGTTGATGTGAAGGAGCGTGGACAAAGTGGAGACCCAAAACCCACCCGCAAGATCATTGAACAGTCCCTCACAGAAGGGCCACATCGAAGCAATTATATATCCAGGCTGCAGTACAGCACTGTTGAAACACATAACTATTCTCTAGCTTTTAATATTTCCTCTCCTCACTATTATGGCCTTAGTTTTACCTCACTAATCTTATTAGACCTGCGTATATTAATTTTTATAATTAAGATCATTCAATGCATGGAATCCAAGATAGATAAACCCCTCAGAAACAGTATTGAGAGTAATGATTCCCTGAGGGTATGGGAAGAAAGGAGGGGAGGGGAGGGGCAGGGGAAACTGATAGCAATGATGACTGTATAACCCCCCTAAAGGGGAACAAATAACGGAATCGAAGGTGAACGGATACATTGGATGGTGTAAGATACGGCAATAATAATAATATATATAATATAAAAATGAAGGGTTTATGGGAGTGGTAGAGTGGGGTGGGGAGAGGATAATGGGGAGCTGATATCAAAGAGTTCAAGAAGAAAGAAAATGCTTTGAAAATGATGGTGGCAGCAATTGCACAACAATGCTTGATCTAATTGAATTATGGATTGTTATAATATCTGTAAGAGCTCCTAATAAAATGATTTTTTAATGAGTATTCTTATACTGCAGGACCTGATTGTTGATCTGTTAATCACCTGTGTCATGGCGACCTTAAATAGATACTGTTCCAATTTGTTTTCTGCGTCCGCTGACCTCTCTCTTTGTCCCATGGAGCCAGGTGATTGTTAAGCCCGTACCTGCTCATCGCTGCCTTCTCTGAATTTCGCATCCTGGTGTAGCCATCATGAGCACTTTCTCCACTACTGCTCTCATCATCAGGTTCGATGTTGACATTTCTCATTTCCACAGGATCCATTTGAGCAGTCAGCACTTTCTATTCCACACAAGCTCCTTCAGTGTAAATAATATACTGTGCCGGCCGCTTAAGGCTCTTCTACTTTGTGTTGACTTTCAGATCACCTGTTCTGCAAAGAGAATATCATATAGATCATCATCATTTCCTTTACATTTGAAAAGATATGGATCACCTGCATTGCATATGCCTTCTATGAAAAAGAAGTAAACTACTGAAAACTTCACATTTAAAAAGTGGGGAACAAAACAAAGGATAACACACCGTCAGGTCCATCGATGTTTATAGAATTGGTACCAGGTGTTGGGACTGACTCAGCAGCGGTGGGTTCAGAAGGAGCGGAGGCTCTGGGGGAAAACCTTCGGTGCATTGCCCTGCTTGTTGTTTCTGCTTTGTGGAAGCCCTGCTCATAGGCTAGTCTTTCCTCGGCTTTCTCAACAGACTAGATCACAGACTTACCCAATGGGCAAAACAGCAGCCCCAGTAGACCAGTTTCCTTGGTGGAAAGCTACTCCGATCCAGTCTGGACGGACTCTTCAGTCCCACACTGAATCCACTCCCCCCACTCAATCACTCCCCCAGCACACTGCACTCCTTTCATTTCCCCAGTCTTCCTACTACTTCTTCCCATGCCGTTCCCTCTGCCTAGAATGCTCTTCCCACATTCCTAACCTAGGTGTCTCTCAATGTCAACAAGAAAAATCAGACACCCTTGGCATGGCAACTGGTCAGAAAGACTTTTCTGATCCGCTTTTATGTACTCTCCTGGCTTGTCTTTTCTCTCGAGGTATTTATCACACTTCATCGTTTCATATTTAGTTGTGTGCTTATCTGATAAACACCAGCGCCTGGTTTGTAGACTTCATCTCACAGACTTTGTACATTTTGTCCAGAGAGGCCAGTCCCTGGAAAAGGGCATCAGGGCAAAGTAGAGGAGAAAGAGGAAGACCCTCCACAGGTGGATTGGCACAGCAGTTACAACAAGGACTCCAGTATAACAATCGTGAAGCTGGCACAGACGAGGGCAATGCTTCACTCTGTTGTAGAGCCTGACCCAAAGGATGGCCCCGAACAACAGCAACAACTATACATTCCTAGAGTCTAATACAGTGCCTGGGGTTACATTCTAGTAAAGCGAATGTTGCCCAAGGCAATATGTCATTGCTTTTTTAAATATAATTTTTAAAATCATTTTATTGGGGGATCTTATAGCTCTTATCACAATCATCCATCCATCCATCCATCCATTGTGTCAAGCATAATTGTACATATGTTGCCATCATTGTTCTCAAAACATTTTCTTTCTACTTGAACCCTTGGTATCAGCTCCTCATTTTTCCCCTCCCTCCTTCATGGACCCGTGATAATTTAGAAATTATTTTTTGTCATATCTTACACTGTCCGATGTCTCCCTTCACCCACTTTTCTGTTGCCCATCTCCCAGGGATGGGGTTATATGTAGATCATTGTGGTTGGGTTAGGGTGATGCAAAGAGGTCTTGTAGGAACAGACTGGATTTCCAGGACAGTGCTCAACTAAGGGTTGACTCAACCCAGTCACTCCTGAAGATGTGAAATCATAACTTGAAAGAGTTCAAAATGCCATGACATTAGACGTCTTCCAGTTTCATCCTGTTTACTAAGAGACGTCGAAATGTCTCAAGTAAATGGTTCCAAATTTATACAAATTGTACTTATTCAGTGTTTTAATGTCTCATTCTTTTGGATAGATACCTAAGGCACTCAGGATGAAGGAATCACACTCAAAAACTACGTTTCTCAATTTATTCGATGGTTCAACTTCAGAGACAGCCTTCAGATATGGAAAGCAAAGCTGTCCTTGAGTCAAGAGGCAGAAATGACCTTCCCTAGTTCCTGCAAACATTTATTTTACCTGATAAGTAAAGCTAATAGGAGTCAACGTTGTTGGATCAAATTTCCCACCATCACTATTTGTCTTGTGTTTCATGCCAACCCAATTCTGACGAATTCACTCTGAAATCTCGGTTTGGTTGCAAATAGCCCCACATAGCGTTTACCCTTAGGTTGAGCAAGTAGGAATAGTTATGCAAGTTCTAAAAGTCAAATTATTTTGTTTCCAAAGAACTGCTTCCAAAGAAGACCCATAAGTGTACCTTAGATCAATGATCACAGCGTTGACAATAAAATTATATTGTCCAAAATAGTCATTTCTTCTATTCCTGAGTGCATATCATGTCTGATATTGAATATTGAATTCTTTATGCTATATATTTTAATGCACCGTATCTAATAACACTGTCATGCATTGATAAGAAGCCCTGATGGTGCGGTGGGTTAGGCTAATTGAAAAGTCTGTGGTTCAAACCCACCAGTTGCTCCACAGGAGAAGGAGGAGGCTGTCTGCTCCCATAAAGATTTTTTGTCTCAAAAATTCCTAAGAGGTTGTTATGAGTCAGAATTAACTCAACAGTGGTAGGTAGTCATGAACTGTGGATGCAGTAAATTCCAAATGTATACATTAAATAATAAATAATGACCTACCCTAAGGTCTGCAAAGAAATTATTTTCAGTTTCTTTAAAGTGATTAATATTTTACAAATAACAATTTCAATATCCCTTAAAGCATACTCTATACCTTGGTTAAAGAACATTTAAAAGAGTTTAGCCATTGAAAACACATTTCTCATAACTGAACTACTGTAGACATACTTTCTCTGAATCTAAATGAAAACACTTAAGAAAATCCCAAATTGTTATCTAAATAGAAATCTAAACAACAGGAATCTTGAACTATAACACAAAGTACATTCCTTCGATAAATCATGCCTGAATTTATTTGTTAAAAACAAGACTTCTTTCAGTCAATTGACCAACTAAGACAGCATTAGTTTGCCTCTTTCTAAACTGCTTTATCAGCCACTCTAAGATTTGTTATTGCCTGAGCATTTCCTGAGAACCCTCCCCAGATGCTCTCTGTAAGATGCCCCAATACAAAGATGCTTACAGCCACTTGGAGCCCCACCCCCCTGATGAATACATTTGAGAAACAGTTCTGCTTTTAGAAAATTTATTCCAGTCTTCCAAACTCTAAAGCCATGTTAAAATTCAATTTCTCAATTTACCCTAGTAGAGTTGCTCTAGAATATTCCATCACGACACTGGGGACATGAAGAAGACAAGATGAGACACAGCCTCTTTTCCCCTTTTCACTGGACGGCGACCCGGCCCAAACCCCACGCACCTCAAAACGCTGAAGTTATCTGACGGTCTTTGATCCATTTTTGTGTTTTTATCTTTTTCAAGATAAAGAAAAGCTTTCCTGGAGTAACCCTGAGAATGTACTTCTAAATAATTACATTTTCTCCTAGGAGAAATTATGTCCACTCTTCAATGTATTCAGTGATTAACTAGAAGATATAAATAATTAAACACTTGCTACCTACCATTTTTGGGTAAGGTTTCCCTTTCCTACTACTCACGGTCCTAATTTTAGGCTCAAAGCTAACATTATCTGCAAAAGAAAATTGCAGGTAGAATCTGAATAAGTCATTTCAAAGTCTGGAAGTATATTTAATTCATCTTTTTAAAATTGAGCAAAGCTTTTTAACTTGTTATGAGTCAACAGCAAAATGAAAAATGGAAGGAAACTTCCTTTTAACTCTGCAAATACCCAAGTAAAAAGAGTTTTACCTTGATTATCTCTCCAGCTCTTGTAGGCTCTCTTGAATTGTTTGGAATAGCAGCCCCCTGTAACAGAGTTCACTTATATGGACCTTTGGGAACCTAGATAATGATTTAAAGGCCAGTGGGAGTGAGCGAGGCAAGCCAATCAACTCCACCACCTTGCCCCAACAACTCCCTCAGTCCAACTTGCGTCAGCTCTTCAAAAAAAAGAGAGAGACTACACCAGTTTACTGTTGTACATTTAAATTAAACATGAGTTACACCAATTCTATTTGTTTTTAGAATCTGGGCTCTTAGGCAACAAAATGCTTACTGAAAATTCTATCTTGACTGGCGTCATTCTGTTTCAAGATTCTTTAAGTTGTTTGATAAATTTAGAAATGGTAATTTTTCAAAGGCTTATCGCTTAAGAAAGTAAAAATAGTCCTATAGTCATCAGACTAAATTGCTTAGAACAGATTGCTTGATCTAGTCTTGCAATTAGAATGCACGGAGAATACTAATAACGTAGCAGAGAGGGGATTTTCTTTTGAGCCCCTTGACTTGCAGAGGAAATTTTAGAAAATCACAGACACTTCCCAAATGGCACTAAGTTCTTTGAGATGCTGTCAGGTTGGAAATCATAGACCATTGTCAGCCACTACTACTATGG